TCCTTTAAAGGGTGTAGGGTTTGGGGTAAGGGGCTCCTTTATAGGGTGTAGAATTTGGGGTAAGGGGCTCCTTTATAGGGTGTAGGGTTTGGGGTAAGGGGCTCCTTTAAAGGGTGTAGGGTTTGGGGTAAGGGGCTCCTTTAAAGGGTGTAGGGTTTGGGGTAAGGGGCTCCTTTAAAGGATGTGGGGTTTGGGGTAAGGGGTTCTTTTAAAGGGTGTAGGGTTTGGGGTAAGGGGCTCCTTTAAAGGGGTGTAGGGTTTGGGGTAAGGGGCTCCTTTAAAGGATGTGGGGTTTGGGGTAAGGGGCTCCTTTAAAGGGGTAGGGGGTTTGGGGTAAGGGGCTCCTTTAAAGGATGTAGGGTTTGGGGTAAGGGGCTCCTTTAAAGGGTGTAGGGTTTGGGGTAAGGGGCTCCTTGTAAAGGGGCTCCTTTATGTGGGGTTTGGGGTAAGGGGCTCCTTTAAAGGGTTAGGGTTTGGGGTAAGGGGCTCCTTTAAAGGATGTGGGGTTTGGGGTAAGGGGCTCCTTTAAAGGGTTTAGGGTTTGGGGTAAGGGGCTCCTTTTAGGGTGTAGGTTTGGGGTAAGGGGCTCCTTTAAAGGGTGTAGGGTTTGGGGTAAGGGGCTCCTTTAAAGGGTGTAGGGTTTGGGGTAAGGGGCTCCTTTAAAGGGTGTAGGGTTTGGGGTAAGGGGCTCCTTTAAAGGGTGTAGGGTTTGGGGTAAGGGGCTCCTTTAAAGGATGTGGGGTTTGGGGTAAGGGGCTCCTTTAAAGGGTGTAGGGTTTCGGGTAAGGTGCTCCTTTAAAGGGTGTAGGGTTTGGGGTAAGGGGCTCCTTTAAAGGATGTGGGGTTTGGGGTAAGGGGCTCCTTTAGAGGGTTTAGGGTTTCGGGTAAGGTGCTCCTTTAAAGGGTGTAGGGTTTGGGGTAAGGGGCTCGTTTATAGGGTGTAGGGTTTGGGGTAAGGGGCTCCTTTATAGGGTGTAGAATTTGGGGTAAGGGGCTCCTTTAAAGGGTGTAGGGTTTGGGGTAAGGGGCTCCTTTAAAGGGTGTAGGGTTTGGGGTAAGGGGCTCCTTTATAGGGTGTAGAATTTGGGGTAAGGGGCTCCTTTATAGGGTGTAGGGTTTGGGGTAAGGGGCTCCTTTAAAGGGTGTAGGGTTTGGGGTAAGGGGCTCCTTTAAAGGATGTGGGGTTTGGGGATTTGGGGTAAGGGGCTCCTTTACTGGGTTCAGCGTTTAAGGTAAAGGGTTCCTGTAAAGGGTTTAGGGTTTACGGCAAAAAGTTCCTTTAAAGGGTTTAGGGTTTAGGGTAATTAAAGGGCTCCTGTAAAGGGTTTAGGGTTTAGGGTAAAGGGTTCCTGTAAAGGGTTTAGGGTTTACGGTACAAGGTTCCTCTAAAGGGTTTAGGGTTTAGCGTAAAGGGCTCCTTTAAAGGGTTTAGGACCGCGCTCCTTTGAAGGGTTTAGGGTAAAGCACTCCTTTAAAAGGTTTAGGGTTTAGGGTAAAGGGCTCCTTTAAAGGGTTTAGGGTAGAGGGCTCCTTTAAAGGGTTTAGGGTTTAGGGTAAAGGGTTCCTTTTACAGGGTTTAGGGTGTAGGCTAAAAGGCTCCTTTAAAGGGTTTAGGGTTTATAAGGTAAAATGTTCGTTTAAAGGGTTTAGGGTTTAGAGGGTAAAAGGTTTCTTGGAAGGGTTTGAGTTTTAGGTTAAAGGACTCCTTTAAAGGGTTTAGGGTTTAGGGTAGAGGGCTCCTGTAAAGGGTGTCGGGTTTAGGGTAAAGGGTTCCGTTTACAGGGTTTAGGGTGTAGGCTAAAGGGCTCCTTTGAAGGGTTTAGGGTGCATAAGGTAAGATGTTCTTTCTGCAGGGTTTAGTGTTTAGGGTAAAGGGTTCCTTTGGAAGGGTTCTTGGAAAGGTTCCAAAAGAAGCCTATAAGGGCCTAAGTCAAGTCTTCTACTTGGAGATTCATGAGTTCAAGTTCCTTTAAGAGGGGTCCTTTCAGGGTTCCTTTAAGGGTTCTCTAGAGTTTAGGGTTGAGGGCCCCGAACCACACGAAAACCCAGAACCCACACAGCACAGAAGAGACGTCTGAGCCCACCGCTAGCTGTGCGCCCGACCTCCAAGGGATGTAAAGCAATTAGGCCCTACGGCCGATGATATAAATCTTGCATTACCCATAATAAGGGCGAAACCATAATTCTCAAATTTTAGGGTGCTTAAGGTAGTTCAGGATTTATATCATCAACAGCAGGGGTCCTTATTTATGGGTTTCGGTATTTACCCAAAATGGACCCAACGTGCCACAATAGGGAGTACTTGGAGGAGAACGGGATCTGCCGTGGGCCGGCAGTCCCTTCGTTCGGTCTGCCACTGAAGATCAAAAAGATCCTCGGAGTCTAGCACTTGTTTTCACGTTTACCGGTTCAGCTTCTAGTGTAGCCAATGCAAGTCGCTAGAAAAGCCGTGGTCTCCAGGTAAGACCGCCACGACTTCGAACGTCCATCGAAGACCATGCTGCAAAAGTGGTCCTTGCCAGACAACTTCTTCATGCAGTCCAACCGTGCATCCGTCTCTGTGGGCACAGTCGTGGTCTTCTGCCACGTCCCAAGCCAGGGTTTTGACTTGTTCTCGAGAACCCTGGACTTGGCACGTTCGCGTGCAGGATGCGTTTAGGATTCAAGGTCGTTTCGCTCTAGGATCTTCTTGGGCCTCGGGATTTAAGGCTCGGGCTTCTCAGGACCGAGATGTACGCGATGGAATGCCCTTCTTCCTTATATATACCCACCTATACCCTGATGTAGGACATACTTCATATCAGCCCTATCCCACCGCAGAACCCTATGCCTATACCTGTGACCAGTGTAATATAGATACCACTGCACATGTTTCAGGGTGGAAACAGAATTTGGGTACTAAAGGGCAGGGCATTGCATGGGTCAGCTGTGCAGGGTGGCATATTGAAGGTTTAGCTTTGAATGTAAGCTTAGGATTCCACACTAAGAAACCAAGGTCGCGCGGAAGCGGTGCTACAGCACATCTCAGGATTTGGGTGGCCCCCTGAAGCCCAAACCTTCCCCTGTCTCACTCTTAACAATCAGTATAGGGCTTTTGGGTAAAATCTTGTGTCTCACTGTACCTATAATCAGGATCCCCAAATCCACCCAAAAATAGTGTTGACAATTACTTACTCCCCTATATTGAGGTAAGGTGTTGCAAGAGAGCCGAGGGTGCCAAATGCAAGGAACCTAGGCTACTAACACGCTGTAGGCGTTTAGGGTGTGGGTTTGACGGTTGAGGGCTTAGGGTCTACTTTCGATACTGCCCCCATACAGTAACAGTCTATAATAGGGCTGCTATTAAGGTCCTAATATATTTATATTATGAATATTATTCGACTATTACTGAGTGGGGGCCGTACCCAAGGTCTACTGCTCATGTACGGCAACAGCCCCCAAGCATAGATGGGAACCTATCTCAAGTCCTACTCCGGGGCCGAAGTCTCCAAGAAAAACAAATACTCTGGGTTGGGATAGGACCAGTTGTGGACTAGGTAGGACTACACAGGCCTCAATAATTGGAACGGTGTTTCGGAAGGGAAATAAAAAATAATGAGGGGCCCTCAGGAACGTTGCTAGTAGTTAGTCCGGCCCCGGTATTTTTCGAGTGGGTATGTGTCAGGTACTTACTCTCCCAATAAACCATAGAAATAAAATGTTAAACTTTCCGATTCCTGCTAAACTATAAGAACCCAACAAGTTTAAAGTTCTGGATTTAGGGATCTAAACTTATAACCCCAATTAAGATACTTATGACATTACTTACTACTGTCCCATGATCCTCCAAGTAACCCTTGGGGCAGCCTGGAAGCTGAAATCCACAAAAGTCGAACTTACAAACTTCAAACCCTTCACTCGAAGTACCACCCATTGCCACTTCCATTACCAATTGTATTTGTAATGTGTTTTACAGTTTTACATGTATACCCTGCAACCGAAACATTCAGCCTAAGCCATGAAACCTGAACCCGCAACTTCTCCCAAACACCCTGACTGAGTCCGTCGCTCTACTTGAAGGATCATGGGACTTCGTAGCTGTGGTTATAATTAGGTAACCATACGTATAATTCAAAACTACTTCTGACTCCAACTACGGTAATTATAACCTTGGCTGGTAAGTCCCAGGTATGAGGGAGCCTGCTCAGTATTCGTACCTCAGGAATAGCACCCCAACATCCCTCATCATCATATATAGCCGAAAATACAGCGTACAGTTACAACCCTAAACAATCAAATCGTGCACAAAACGACCCAACAGTTCGGGAGACAACCCTTGTGCTACAAATTCCTCTGAGCATCTTGTGGAAAAGCTTTGGAACCAACGCTAGATACAGAAACCCACTGCATGAACAAAAGATTAAGACTGGCAAACCGTGAACCCTCAAACCCACCACCTGATTATACGAGGAAACTTTTCGTTTGAATGTACGATGAAAAATCTCGGAACCCTAAATAACAAAAACAAGACGTGCCTTATCTTCCAAGGATCGTCCGACGTTCGCTTCCATGGGGGAATCCGGGGAATCCTTCCGAATTGGAACTTTAGCATAGGGTTTAGGGTTTAGGGTTTAGGGTTGTGAAAATCTTGAGCTGCGACAGGAGCGAGTGGCCATGTTCGTGCACCGCCTATCCTTTCAGGCCCAAGGGTCGAAGGTGGGCGGGTAGGGTTCAGCACTGGGTGCTGCATGGACCTTTGAAGCCTGAGCCGGACAGCTGGAGAAAACAGCGTGGGACGCTGGGGAACGTTTAGCTGCAGGGCAGCCTCTTTCTTCTTTTGATCTTGGATTCGCGGTTGAGGAACCTTTCATTCTTCAGATCTTTGATCATTGGTGACAGGGTCACAAGCTACCAGGTGAACTCAAGGGAGTTCACACTGGTAGCGGAGCCTACAGCTTCGCTATCTGCGCAAAAGCGGCCGATCCAATCTTGACCTCTGGGTTTTCCATTTCGGGATATCAATGCCTCCTACAGTGGAGCCAACGACAGCCCCGCCTGGGCCGACGACGGCCGAGGGATCATCGGGATTTCAGTTACCATGGGCGGCTATTCCGAAGTTTATCCCTGGAACGACAGATGTGACGGAGTACAGCAGGAAGCTGGAGTTCCTGGCGGCCATGTGGCCGAAGGAGCACTTGAGCTTGCTCGCCCCGCGGGCAGCTCTTCAAGTTGAAGGCACAGCCTTCAAGAAGATCGCCAGTTTGCCACCAGACAAGCTCAAGAGCAGCGATGAGTCTGGGATCAAGCTTCTGGTGTCTACTCTGGGTGGATCCTGGGGAAAGACAGACCTCGAGGCGAAGTATGACGTGTTCGAGAAGGCCTTGTACGGCACCGTCCAGAAACAGGATGAGACGAACGATAGTTACTTGGCCAGGCATGATGTTCACTTCGAGGAGCTGTTATCTCAGAGCGTGACATTTGAACAGGTACGTGCCTATATATTGTTGCGCCAGTCCCAGCTCACTTCAGAGGATCGGAAAACGATCATTTTGGAGCTTGGCGGAAGCCTAGACTACAAGAAGGTCTGCTCATCGATTCGGCTTTTGGGGTCCCGATTCTTTGCCGATCTGCAGGGTCAGAGGGTGGTGAAGTCACGGACCTATGATGCCAATGTGGTGGAAGACCCCCCGGAAGAAGGCGAGAAGTTGATTCCGGCGATGACGGCAAGCGCTGCCGTCGAAGAGGCCGAAGTGGACCTCGATGAGGGCTTCATGGAAGCCATGTTGGCTTCGGAGGACCAAGACGCCTTGCAGGTTCAGGCATTCGAGGAGGAGCTGGAAAGCTTCTTCCAGGATACTCCGGAGCTTCAGGAGGCCTTGGTGAGCTACATGGAAGCACGCAATCGCTTGCTGGCGAAGAAGAAGTCCCGCGGCTTCTGGCCGATTGCAGAAAGCAAGGGTGCTCCCAAGGGCGGTCGCAGCTTCAAGGGTGGCGGCAAGGGCAAGGGCAAGCATCGAGAGCAGCTCCTGGCTCGTATTGCTCGTTCGAACTGTCGGATCTGCGGGGAAAAAGGACATTGGAAAGCGGAATGTCCCCGCCGCAAGGGAAACCCGAGTAGCGAAGCCACCACGACGGTGGCCGAGGCGTTCATGGATGTCTCCCAGGTTGCAGATCAAGCCGTCACTCAGGAGATTTTGACCAGCTTGCCAGCTGATGCCTTGACCTTGGAGGAGGCGCATTGCACGTACAATCCTATGCCCCCTATCTCCAGAACCTAGTCCGAAAGCTGCAGAATCGCCACAACCTGCTGAAGCAACAATCCCTCAGGCCGCGCAGCAGTGGGGAACCAGCCTCGACTGATGCCTTTTGCCCTGACATGAAACATGTTAGGTGTGCTGCAACTGAGGTGGCGACTCTTGCCCAGCAAGCTAGCCATGTTGAAGCTATCCTTGATACGGGTGCGAGCCGTTGCGTGATGGGCAAGAGTTTGCTTCAGAAGTTCGTTGGCCAGCTGAGTGATTCCGTTCGTTCCAAGATTCGGGTGCAGAAGAGTGCCATTCGGTTTCGGTTTGGTAACAATCAAACCTTAATGAGTGACTGTCGTATCTTGCTACGTTTCGGAACAGCGGATCACCAGGTTTTGTGGCTAGGGATAGAGGTGGTACCGGGTCACACACCTTTGTTGTTCAGCAAGAAGGCTTTTAAGCAGCTAGGAGGGGTCATCAATACTGTGACTGATGTGTGCGAACTCCACCGCCTTCAGCGTTCGCTTCAGATGCAGACCGGCCCGACAGGGCTGTACATGATTGACCTTTCAAAGCTATGTGAAGAAAGTTACCATGAGGCTGCAAATCCACTTGTTGCCGAAGCTTCGCCTCATGTTCCCGCTGCCGAAGACCCGTGCATGCTTAGTGAGCCCTTGGGAATAGGAAAGAGAACTTTGGGATGTATAGCGGTTCCTCGTTCCTCTAGAAGCCCTCGGGTAGCGAATTCAAAACCAGCGTTGAAGCATAGTGTTGCCAGCGCCGTTAACGAATGTTTGCCGGTGCCTACGAGGACACCTGGTAGCATAGAGACAGCTCCAGCTCAGGCAAGTGTGTGTCGAACAGCGGTCCCGCAAGCCGCTCCTGCGCTCAATTGTGCAATCCGCGATCCCGTCCCTTGCTCGGCTCCCCAACATGGCCCAGAGCAGTCAAGTTGCCGAGGCGCCGACTTCCCGTGCCCCGACAGCCAGTCTAGGCGCTCGTTTGGTCAAGCTGCGAGACCCCACCATGAGTCTCAGCATGGCCGAGATCGAGGCACTCAGCCTCGAAAAGCACGGTGCCTTTCTGGTGAACTTTGGTACCAAAATGAAGGGACGCACCTTCATGGACTGCGTGGAAGAAGGTTCCGACTGGACCAAATGGTTCGTGGATCACTACCACGACAGTGGCAAACGGGAACACAAAGTTTTCATCAACTTCGTGGAAAAATATGTGAGCCAGGCGGAGCAGCTCGAGGCCGAGCTATGTGGCGAACCCGCCGTGATCAAGTCGGACAAACCTCGCAAGACGGGCATGATGAGTCAAGCCGCGCCAAAGGCCCGTGCCCGCGAGGACGGTCCCGAGATCCCCTGGGAAATGCTGGAGGAGCCTGCGCTCCAGGACCAAGTGGCGACTCTGAACAGTCGCATGACCCAGATGGAGCAAGTGATGCAGGAAATGATTTCAGCCATCCGCCAGCTGAATGCTCCCCCGAGCTCCTCGTGAGCGAAGTCGCTCAATGTCAGCGTGAGTTGAATGATCTTGTTAATCAAGCTAGTGTAGGCCCTCGCGATGTTGAAAATCACGCCAAGACGCTGATGCAAAGTCAGCCCACGCTGTCTGAGCTTCGCATGTTCTTGCGAAAGGTGCCATGGCACCTCTTTGCCGATAGTTCTGCCCGGGCCGCCGTGATTGCCCCGAATCCCGATGCTAAGAGACCCCTAGCCTACGTGACGTTTGGGATGTATGTTCACGGAGGAATAGTGGGAGTTACCTCAGTAGCTAAGCAATACCCCTGGATCACTCGAGCCCTTACGTCCCTAATCCACCTAAGTGATCCCCAGCATCGATTCTCCTCTGTAGGGGTGTCGTGTAATGCCAATGCTGAGCCGCATCGAGATGTGTACAATTCTGAACAATTCCCGAACCTCGTAGTACCGCTAGAATACCCCGACACGGCGGTCAACTCTGGGTAGCCAAATCCCCACACGCTCGGCAACCAGCTCAGGATCGCCTGTGCGGTCGTTCTGCCGTGTCGGGAACGTTAGTGGCCCTTAAGCCCTGCATGTATCTCGATCCGCACCGCTGGCATGCGACAGCGCCCTGGACCGGTGATCGAGTGTTGGCCATAGGTTATTGTCTTAAGGCTACGCCTAAACTGCCCGATGAAGATAGAGCCCTGATGAAATCCCTTGGTTTTCGATTGCCTATTAAGCCCCAAGTCCGGTTTGCCACGACCAATCTGATTGAGAGCCCGCAGGCTAAAGTAGTCCCGAGATCGATACACCAGGCGTCTGCCTCTGAGCCCGTTCCCGAAACGTCTGGCCTTCGCCGGGAACTGACTTCTGCAAGTGATCTGCTGGAGTCGCCGTTGCCCGTGGCGGCGCAAATGGCTGCCGATGCCTGTGCTCAGGCCTACCAACAGGCTGAGGAGGCTGCGTGGAATGTGTATCAAGACTCCATGTTGACGTATTCCCAACCTAGTGAGCATCAATTGGATGTCCTGGCATAAATCCTGATAGTCGTTTAACAGAACAGGTTCGAGCGCTAGGTGGCCTGGCCCAGCGCTTCACGATAGGTGAGGGAGATCTAGAAACGACTGAGGGTCAGCGAAAGCTGTGGAACCTTTTGCAACGCACGCAGCCTCGGCATATCTGGATGTCTCCCGATAGCCGTTACTGGTGCTCCTGGGCACGCCTGAATAGCGCCAAAACCCCCACTGGGCCCCAAACCCTAAAGGAGCACCGACAGCGAGAACTTGTTCATGTCCGATTGTGTGCCAAAATTTGTGAACGGCAAACCAAGAATCACCGACATTTTCACCTTGAGCAGCCGATTTCTTCATGTGTGTCAAATGAAGACGAGTGTAAGCCTATCCTCAAGCTGACCCAGCGAGCAACAGTCGACATGTGTGCTTTTGGACTTTCAACTCCCGTACAAAAGATCCCCATTCGTAAGATCAAGAAGGTTGTGGTTCTTAGCACCTGTGTCGATCTGGTCCGTAGTCTTGTGCAAAAACAGTGCCCGGGACATCCTGCGCATCAGCCCCTGGATTTTGTTAGGCTACTACCGCCAAACACTACTTTCTTGACGGGCGCGTGCGGCCAGGTCCAAGCAGACGTTACACAGCGAAACGAGCAGCCGGAAGGTGTACAACTTAACGTTGTGACTGCAAAGCACGTCCTACCCCCGCACACGCGCGGTGTGCTACAGTGCTTGCAGCGCTTCTCGCAAGCAAGCTCTGTCCTCACCCACAGACGCACTACGGACCTGTCGACCAACGTAACATAAAAAATCAACCATAAACCTATTGAAAACCGTATGCTTTCAGAAGGTATCAACACAACACAAACAGACGGACAAGTCCTCAAAACCCCTCCAAAACCCTTCGGGCATATGCTGTCACAATCATCTTCGATCCTACACCGCGGTATGACAAACATTTCTGCAAAATGCAGCGCTCAGGGCTCGACCTCAGTCGCGGAACCATCGGCATCACTGTCCTCCAGATTCACGGGGGCATCGCTGCGCTGTGAACCCAGAAAAGCCGTAGTAGCTGCAGCACTGGCCTTGAGGCTCGCTGGTGGCTCTGGGACGGAAAACGAAAGCTTGCTTTGCGAAATGCTTCCTGCGCGTGGCAAGGTAGGCGAAGGCGTAGAAATCATCTCCGGGTCACGAGGCTTCTCGACCACCTGCCGCGAAGCAGAAACACGAGCAGCTTTCTTGGCGGGCTGTGCATCACCAACTCCGTCGACGCTGAGCGGCGAGGTTGTAGGGCGAGCCTCAGCAACTTTGTGTTCCAGACTGAGTTGTTTCGTCAAGGTCCTCTTCAACTTCGGGAACAGGGTGTGGCACTCCAACGTCTCGCCATTGGGAAACACAAGGACGGCTGCAAGCTGCGACCAATTGCAATTGATCTTGTCGTTGGTGAAATAGTCCAGCTTGATGCCCTCCACAAGGTCGTTCGGCAAGACCACCTTCTTGGCGGCAAACTTGTCCGTGAGCTGCACGTACTCGTCGTCGTTCTCCTTCAGGTGCTCCACTTTGTAGATGCCGTGCTTGCTCCAATCCACGGAGAAGCCCTTGTCGGAAGCGAGCTCAAGGTTGCGGAACCGCTTACCGAGTGAGATGTACACGGATCGTAGCCGCTCGAAAGCCTCTTTCTTCACTTTCGTCATGGGCTTGTCCGATGCTTTCTCGTCCAAGACCACGAGCCCGAAGCCAAACTCCATCAATTGCTTTGCAAGAGTAGCAGAGTCCAGCTTCGTTTTCTTCGCAGGATGGAACATGTTGGGCTCGACATAGGAAAGGAGCTCGAGGCACAAGCTTTTCCGCCAACCGGAGTACTTCATGGCATGTCGATTAAGCTCTTCTTTGTCATCGATGTCAAAGCCGGGCTCGTCGGAGTCGTACTCGGGGTCGGTGGCGCAAACCTCTTTGCTGCGACTCTTCGTCGGCTTCACAGGCGTCTTGCCTTCAAGGTTGTCCAAGAAGTCCAACACCAGGAGTTGTTTCTCGACGGAGTCCTTCACGCGCTCAACTATCACCCGCACCTGACGGTCCGAGATCTTGTTGATGTTCTTCGACGGGGTCTGCATGATGCGGTGATCTTATGTTGCTGCGGCAGCAAGAACAGAGTCGACTACAAGCTGATGGATTTTAACTGCATGCGTTCGTCGTCTGAGAAAGTGCTGAGTACTTCACCCTTCGGAAGCATTCGAGGTTCGAGCTCTAAGACGGCTCAAAGACCTACCATCAATCAATGGACGCATTCAGTTGACTGGCTGTAACTACTCGTCAATACATGCCTAACCGGACGTGCAGACCAGCACAGGCAGATGTGGACCACTCCCGAAAAATTCTGGGCTTAAAGCTGGACCACACGACATGTGTCTTCACGAGAAAAGCTCTACAAGTAATGATTGCAAACGTCCTTCGAACAGTGTCCTAGCACGCAACTCAAACTCAACTTTGCACGTACTCTACCGGAACCTGTCCTGCCTGCCCAAGCATTAGTTTTCTGTAGTTGGGGCCTCTCACACGTATGCTTTCTGTTTAGCAACTCCGACACACCGCAAACATCACTCTGGTCTGACATCTTAGCTGTTACACGCAAACATGACCGAACTGACACCTCTAAATGTTGATGATGCCCCCGTACGTTTGCGAATGGAAAAAACCTGCGCTCCTCAGGAAAGGCCCCAATGGGCCCCAATGAGCCCCAATGGGCCGGAGAGCTTACGCCCCTATATACTACGCAACCATTGGCAAAGCTTTGATAGATGCCCAAAAGAGAGCGAGTGAGCCCGAATCAGGGGAAGGTGTAGCTAGGAAGGCGAGGAAGAAGGAGCCCATACCAGCTCCATCCTCTGCGTCAGTACAAGCACCGAAAGTCCTGCCTGATGCACAATGGCAGCCCATCTTTGAGTCAGCTCCTTCATGGGCCTGCTTTCCGTAGATTGCCTAAGGACCTAAAAAGACCCAGCTTATCCGAGCCCATAACAATCTAGGTCACCCGGATCCTAAGAAGCTTTCCGAGCACTTGCGTGCCGCTGGTGAAGACAAGCAGCTCATCGAAGCAGCTCTGGATTAGCAGTGTGACGTGTGTTTGGAGTCTACGTCGCCTCGTCATCAGAGACCCAGTAAATTGCCCGAACCGAAAGAGTTTAATGATGTCCTTGGAGTTGACGGGTTTTTCTTTAAGGGTCAAGCTGGTTATCGAGCATATGTTGTTCACATTCTTGATGAATCCAGCTGTTTCCATCTGGGACGCCAATCTAATTCCCGACTTGGAGCTGAAGCCTTGAGTACCCTACAGGATAGTTGGTTCTCTTGGGCAGGAACCCCTAAGCTTGTGTATGTTGACCCAGCCGGGGAATTTCGATCGGAAGCAACCTTGGAAGCCTTTCAGCGCCAGAACATTAAAACATTCGTCACAGCTGCTGCTTGGCAAAGGGGCCGAGTTGAGCGTCATGGAGATATTGTAAAGAACATGTTGAGCCGACTAGATAAAGAATCCCCTATCACCAACGATAGTTCTCTTGATCAGGCACTTCATCAGGTCTTCAATGCTAAGAATGCCTTAGTCCGTCATAAAGGTTATGCTCCAGAGCAGATTGTCTTGGGAAAGTCTGTTCGCGTCCCCGGAAGTATTACTTCCGACGAGGAGTGGAGTTCTCACGCCTTGACTGAAGGCGATGATCTTGAAGCCGAGGCCCACCGCAGACGATTGGACCTCCGGTGTAGGGCTCGACAAGCCTTTTTCGAAGCCGACAACTGCCAAACCATCCGGCGGGCCATGTTGAGGCGTAGTCATCCTGTACGAGGTCCGTTTGTTGCAGGGTCGTGGGTTCTGTATTGGACTAAGAAGACATCGCCGAACAGGCTTGCAGCAGGTAGGTGGCACGGGCCGGCCAAGGTCATCTGCCAAGAAGGTCAGTCCGTAGTTTGGGTTGCGCATGGCGCAACCATCCTCCGGTGTTAACAAACATTTCGCTTAGGAGTGTGTTGCCCTATAATCCTGTAGATGAGCTGTTTGCCACATGATTTTGTATAGTATGGAACAAATGTTCCACTGTGGTGTTTAGGCTCAAGGGACGCACCCAAGTCAGCCGTGCGCCCGAGGAAAAGTGAAGTGCGAATATCTGTGTGAAGTGAAAGGGTCCGGAACGTACCCGTAAAGCGTTTTATGGTAGCGGAGCTGAAGGCCAGGACCTTCGGCTAAAGAAGAGCCCAATACAAGGAGAAACGAGCCTTGGGCCCCAGTGTCACGGAAAGTGAAAAGAAAGGAAAGTTGAATGGCCACGCCAAGTCCAGCTGGAGACGCGGATTTGCCTGTGTCCCCTGGTCACGGTGGTCAAGGAGGAGATACACCAAGTGATACGCCAATGGCGATGCCTGCACCAGATGGAGTTGCAGGAGGATCCCTTCAGGCCCTGATAGGGAACCTGTCGGCAGCAGCGCAAGCTTTGGCAAGTGCTGCAGGTACAGGAAGTACCAGAAGTTACGACTCTGCAGCTAAGCTGGTGAAGAGTCCGGATGTGTTCGCTCCAAAGAATTTGGAGGAGGAAGTTTCACAGTGGCCAGATTGGAGTTTCAGTTTCAAAGTGTTTGTGGGCTTCATTGATCCCACTTATGCAGAAGAGTTGAAGAAAGTGGAGCTGGCACCACCAAATCCAGCAGATTATACAGTTGGTGAAAGAGAGCGAAGTACAAAGCTGTATGCGATTTTGGCCTCGTATCTTAGGAACAGGCCATTGAAGTTATTGAAGTCAGAAGGAAGTCCAGATGGATATTCTGTCTGGAGGAGACTGTTTGAAGAGTTGGAGCCGTCAAGCCGAACAAGAGGGCTGGCAATGGCTCAAGCTCTAGTGAGCTTTCCCCAGATGACGAAGGGGACTTCTATCTTAGACTATCTGCTTACCTACGAAAAACTGGTGGCAGAATACGAAAAACTGTCCGAAGGAAAACCCTACGATGAGAATTTGAAAATCGGAACAGTACTCAAAGGTTTGCCAAATGAGTTGAGGAAGCATATCCTGATAGGATTGACCCCTACGACGAAGTACGCAGACATCAGGAAGAAGTTGCTTGAGTATGAAAGAAGTACCCAATCGTGGAATGCGGAGAACATTTTGCAGTCTTTCAACATGGAAAGCGCAACGAAGAGTACACCCTACAATGGGCCACAACCAATGGATATTGATCGAGTGAAAGGAAAAGGAAAAGACAAAGGAAAAGGAAAAGGTCACGACAACAAAGGAAAAGGAGGAAAAGGGTACAACAACAAAGGAAAAGGAAAAGGAAAAGGATACGACAACAAAGGAAAAGGAAAAGGAAAAGGATACGACAACAAAGGAAAAGGAAAAGGTGGTTATAGAAATGCACGAGCAGTGGACGCTGGTGGCTACGGGAAAGGAAAGTTCATAGGAGAGTGCCACATATGCGGAAAGACAGGACACAAAGCAGCTGATTGCTGGCAGAATCAAGGAAAAGGAAAAGGAGGTAAAGGCAAAGTGAGACAGGTAGAAGAGGAAGGAACCCATCAAGGAGATCACGAGAAGAGTTCCTCTAGCAATGCCCCTCCTGCGAAGAATGAGACTGGTCAAGTGAGGCAGATCACAGCTGAAGCAGCGCGCCAAGCAAGAAGAGTAGAGATGACACAAGAGTGGAACGATGAGGATGAAGAGCTCAACTTTGTGAGATTGTGTCAGGAGTTTGAAGGTTTGGTTCAAGGAGAGCTGAGAAGAGTTGAGGAGTTTGATATCTCTTCGAGCGATGAAGTGGAAGAGATCGAGGAAGAACCGACTGATGGTTTGATGGAGTGGTACCAAGGATGGTGGTTCTTGGAAACAGAAGTTGAAAGAAGTGTGAGAATGGTTTCTGAAGGAGATGATGTGAGAAGAGCAGCAAGAGAAGTGGATGCATGTGAGGTAGTGCTCGACAGTGGAGCTGACTGCCATGTGTTGCCTATGGATTGGGCAGAAGAAGTCGGAGAAACTTCGAACTTTGAGTACCATCTGAAAGATGCGCAAGGGAAAGTGATCCCAACGTTGCCTGTGAGGCAGAATGTGACGTTTGTTTTCACGAAGGAGTCTGGAAAGAAGTTGAAGATCACTGACAGTGCTGTTTGCGGCAATGTCACCCAACCTTTGTTTGCGGTAGGAAAGATGTGGAAGCTAGGTTGGGGTACGGTGAATGAAGATGGAAGATTGTGGTTGAAGAAAGGAAGTGTTCGGATACCGATATACTTCAAAAGGAATTCCTCAATGGCGAGGATGTGTATACGGAGACTTGAAGGAGAAGAGATGACGGTGCAGCCTGTGAGGCTGGAGCGAGAACTGAAGAATGAGTTGAAGAGCAAAGAAGATGAAGATGGTTGGTTTGTGCTAAATGACGGCACGCCTGCAAGGTTTGATTGGTTTATGGGGAAGACGTTTGACCCAACGGGTCAGTTCCCTAATAGACTCTATGAGGGAGCAGGAGATGAAGGCGATTATTTTCCTTATAGGACAACCTTGCTAGGAAAGATGAAAAGAAGTGGAGAAAGAGTGTTGAACGAAGTGGATTGGAAGAGTATGGATTTCTTTGAGTGTACGGAGATCTGGAAGGATCGCGAAAGAGTGCAACTTGGGGCGAGTCCTCAAGCAAGGTTTGAGGTGATGGTCACCTTGTTGGAAAAGGGATTGAAGGAACCGAGTGACTATGGGTTGCTCACGAACTTGGAAGAGCTTGAAAGAGAACTGGCACAAGAAGGAGTGCCAATGGAGGTCACAGGTACCTCCTCAAGTTCGAGAGACAAAAAGAAAAGTGAGAAAGAGGAACCGAAGAGAGGAGTTCCAGTGATTGGTGAAGATGAGGAAGAAGTGATGGTGATTGGACCAATGAAGTTGACACGCCAGAGTGAGTTGAAGGAGATGAAAGCGGCGTGCAAGTATCTGCATATCTCGAAGAATGGATCGAAAGAGATTTTGTGGAAAAGATTGAAGAAAGAGGTTGCGCTGAGCAAAGTGAAAGCGCAAGCCCAAATCTCTGAGGATATCAGAAAGGAGTTTGAGAGAGAACCGATTCCAGAGGCTCTGCCTGCTTTGCCGAGCCCGGAAGAGATTGAAGCGCATGAGTTGACGCATTTGCCGAGAGCGCCCTGGTGTGAAGCATGCCAGGCAGCAAAGAGCAGAGAAGACAACTTTGAAGAGACGAAAGAGAAAGCGCAACGGCCCGTGTTTAGCTTGGACTTTATGTTCACAGGAACACAAGGAGATGAAAAGGAGAGAGATCCGCTTGCTATTCAGCTTGCGGGTGTTGACAACGACACGAAGTTCCTGATAGCTATTGCGGTGCCAACGAAAGGAGGAGATGCGGTGATAAACCACGCAGTGAGTGAAGTGGTAAGAGTGTTAGCCCTTTTGGGTTACGCTGAAGTGGTGATTAGAACGGACACCGAGCCAGTGATGATTGCCATCAGGAGAGGAGTTCAAGTGGCAAGAACAAGACAAGGTTTGAAGACGGAGTTGCAAGATGCCACGCCTGATGAGCATCAAGGGTTGCCTGTGGAAAGGTATATCCAAACTGTGAGGAACCTTGCAAAGACGTTGTTGGCGACGGTTGAGCAACGAAGTGGAACGGCCATCGGATCTGATGTCCCGCTTTATAGCTGGGCGTACAGACATGCAGCATGGCTGCACAACAGGTTTCATGTTGGAAGAGATGGCAGAACTGCGTTTGAAGCGACAGTGGACCGAACGTACAAAGGGAAGCTGGCCCCGTTCGGGTCAGCAGTGTTTGGAAAAGCAGTGCCAAAGACCAAGGAGAAAGGAGAACCTTGGGAGAAAGGAGTCTTTCTTGGAAAGGACTACGCGAGCAATCTGAACTTGATTGGCACAGGTAGAGGAGTGATCAAAGCGAGGACAATGAGAAGATGTGCTGAGGCATATCAGCCGGAGCTTTTGCAACTTTCGGTTGGAGCTCCATGGGATCATCAGTTGAAGGCTTTGAGGTTTAAGAAGAAGAGAATTGTGCCTATTGATGATGGGCCAGGACTGCCAAGATTGGCGGTGGAAGCTGACAAAAGAGCAGAAGAAGAAAAGAGAAGCGAGCCTTCGCCGCCGAGCGACCGCCAAGGAAGCTCAAGTTCTTCTAGCAAGAGTTCGTCGCTATCTGGAGCAACGCCAGAAGCAATGGACGACGAGAGCGATGACGATGACGATGATCCAGGAGAGGTGAGAACAAAGAGAAAAGCAGAAGATGAATTGGTGCCCGATGAAATGACGTTGGAAGAGTTTCAAAGAGAAGTTGCAAAGAGGAATGCAGAAGAAGAAGGAGAAGGGTCACCAAAGAAAGAACCAAGAGTAGACGAAGGAACTGGAGAGGTAGAAGAAAGAGTTGAAAAGGTGCCGAGACTTGGAGACGAAGCACGAGGAAGCGCGGCACGAGTGGAATACCATATTCGGAGATTCGCCAAGAGCGAAGATCCCGAAGAGCATGGAGATGAGTATGTTGATCTCGACGAGACACAGTTGTTTCTGGAAGAAAGTCGAGAGTTCCAGAGCAAGTGGAACGAGAAGGTGTGTGAGACAGAAGAGGACCTAACGGTTACTTGGTCTCACGAGTATGATGATGGGCCACCAAAGTTGGAAGATGAAGATTTGGAAAAGGTGGACCTGAAAGCAGAGAGAACAGAAATCGAGAGACTATTGGAGATGAAAGTTCTCAAAGAAGTGGAACTGGATGAGAATGGAGAGTTGAAGAAAGGACCGAATGGAGAAGAACCAAAGAGACTCAGTACAAAGTACGTGTTGGATTGGAGGCATAGGGACCTCCAATGGAAGAGGAGAGCCCGCCTAGTGGCGCGGGAGTACAAGTGGCTGACGGACTACGATCTCTCAGCGCTATACTCACCAACGAGTATTGGTTCGAGCATCAAGCTGTTATCAGCTTTGTGTGCGAGTTCAAGAGACTACGAGATGATCTCGATAGACATTTCGGACGCGTACCTTCAGGTGCCACAGAAGGAGTACACGGTTGTGAGTTTAGGAGGAAAGTGGTACCAGCTGCAGTACACCCTGCCGGGACAACGAACAGGAAGCAGTGATTGGTTTGAGCACTTACGAGAAATCCTGGAGAAAGAGAAGATGGTTTCCGATGTGGGGTTACCAAGTTTCTTCTACAAGTTTTCAGAGAACCCAGGAGAAGGTGGAACGCTGATGAGTACACATGTGGATGATTTGGAAGTGTTTGGAAAACCAAAGGAGAACCAAGCGGTGGTTGATCTGCTGCTGAAGCACAAGTTGAAGATAAAGCTGGAAGGACCAGTGAAGGTTGGAGAAGGAAAGTGTACTTTCTTGAAGAGGACGTTCTTAGGAACGAAAGAAGGAATAGAGATCAGGATGGACGGCAAGTATCTTGAGAAGTTGGAAGAGATTTTAGGTTTGGGAAAAGCCCTGCCGAAGAAGTTGCCGTTTCCAATGGATTACGGAAGATCGTTGAAGGACGATACGCCCTTGGATGCAGATGAACATCATCTGTATAGATCCTGTGTAGGAATCCTACTGTATATGACACCGGAGAGACCTGATTTGGGATTCGCTACGAAGTGGTTGTCTGGGAAGTTGGCAGCGCCAACGCGAGGAGACTTAGCAGTGCTTAGGCACGTGGCAAAGTATGTAAAAGCGACAGCCCACTACGTGATAGAACACAAAGAGGCATATCCTGGAAAGAGTTTTCTAGATCCAAGTGATAAGAGAACTGAGAATGCCTACAAAGATGTTTTTACGGCAAAGAGTTTGATCGAGGTAGTGACCGACGCCGACTGGGCGACCGATCGTGAGAATAGGCAGTCAACGAGCTGCGTGTTGATTTTCGTGAACAGTAACATCGTTTACTTTCACGCGAGAAAGCAAAAAGCGACGGCTTTGAGCAGCTGCGAAAGCGAACTGGTGGCAGCTGTTGGAGGTTTGAGTGAAGGAGTTTTTCTACAGAACCTGCTGCACAGAGTTCTAGGGATTAGGCCGGAGATGGTGATTAGGATGGATTCTAGCAGTGCTAGGTCTATTCTCATGAAGAAAGGCCTAGGAAGAACAAGGCACATTGATGCAGGACTGCTTTGGGTTCAAAGACTTACTTCTGTAGGTCTTCAAGTGAAAGCGATAGCTGGAAAGGAGAACCCTGCAGATGTAGGAACAAAGGCTTTGTCGAGGAACGCTGTTGTGAAGTGTTTGGAGAGAATCGGTGTGAAAACTGGGGAAGAGAGTGAAGAGGTCAGGATAGCAAGTGACTTCAAGATCCCTACGAAGTATCTGAGAAGACTTGTGATGATGATGATGGTTCAGCAGTGTGATGGACTAAGAGAGCAAAGCAGTAGAAGCAGTGAAGGTGGAAACCTTGGTTTGGTGATGATGGTGATGATGATGACACTGGTTGTTATCATGGCTTGCAACGGTAGCTTGTGGAAGAGTCTGGTTGGAAGTGTTGAATGCATGCTTTGTTCCGCCGCTGCCGTTTTTGACTCAAGGAAGAAAGTGAAAAGAGAGGAAGTGAAAAGAAAAGAAGTGAGGAGAAAAGAAGTAGAAGAAAAAGAAGAAGTGAAAAAGATGGCCGACGACGCGGCCCTCAAGACAATGATCAGTGACGAATGCCGCAGCATAGAGTCCGTAACCCTCTGCGAAAGAGAGCTCAAAAAGGAGCGAGAGAGGAGATTAACCCTGGATGCCCTATGGCCCGAAGTGCAACGCCTCAACCAAAAGTATGAGCCTAAAGAGGCGGCCCCGTCAGAAGCTGCAAAGACGGAGGTTAAAGTGCCTGAAGAGTTCAAGAAAACAGCCGAGGAATTGGCTGGAGAGGCACAGAAAAAGAGAGGTGAAAAGAGAAAGAAAGAGTCTGAGTCCAGTGATGATGAATACAAAGAAATCATGGACAAGATGGCAAAGAAGTCAGTTCTGGAAGAGGAGAAGAAAGTGCAGGACCTGCTTGGGCAGATGCGAGTTCTGCAGGAGAAAGTGGACGAAAAGAGAAAGAAATTCACGATTTATAGTGACTTGTATACTTACAAGCAAAAGCAGAAGAAGATCAAGGAGGAAGAACGAGACAGGTTGATTGCAAAAGAGATAGAGGTAAAGGAAGAGCTGAAGCGGGTAGCGGACGAAGCGTTCGTTGCCAAAGAGTCCATAGAGAAACAACTGGACAAGCTGAGAGCCGAAGAGGAGGAACAGGAAAATGAGGCTACATTGATAATGGACGCAGAGTCCGCCCTGCAAAAAGAGATGGACCAATTGAGGCCGAAACTCCATACTGCACTGGAGGAATTGAAGGCAAAAAGGAAGGAACTGCAGGTTCCAGCGGGTGGACTGCTTCAGGGCGAAGCTGAGCAAAAGCTGAAAGAGATGGAGAGCAAGAGGATCAAAGAGATTAAAGAGCTCCAAGAAACGAAAGAAAAGGAGATCAAAGAGGAGATAGACAAAAAGGATAAAGAGATCAAGGAGCTAAAAGAGGCAAAGGACAAAGAGATTGGAGAATTGAATGAAGAAGTGAGAAAGCTGAAAAAGCGCAAAAGCAGTGCTGGGTCGACGCAAGGCCCACCGAATGAGGATGCAGAGAAGATGAAGGAGGAGCGCAAGAAAATGCGCGAGACTATCAAGGAGCTTGGAAAGAATAACAAGGCCCTCGAAGATGAGCTCCAGGTGCTTAAAGAGGAAAGCCGGATCAACGAAGATCCTGATGCGCAAAGCCAGGCAATGGTTTGCGCGGTATGTTCGCGTTTCGGACATGGTTCCGAAACGTGTTGGGATGCCGATTACAATTATACTGCCTCAGGGCAGTATGCCCCAAAGATGCAAAGGGAAGAGATGAGTAAGGAACAGTTCCAATCCTGGTACAAGAAGAACGAATTGATAATTCGAAGAGCATACGCGAACAGGTTGGAGACAAACAAGAAAAAGTACCGCACAGACAATGCGGAGAAGGGCAAAGGAAAGAAGGCCCAGCAAAAGAACAGCTAAAGGAGAAAAGGAGAGAAGAGAAGAAAGAAAGACCAAACCGGAGGTCTATAAAGAAAAAGGGAATCTGAAGGCTGAAAAGCCCAGAGGGGGAACTTCGTTCCCAAACGAGGAAAGAGTTTTCTGAAAGTTGTACGACAACTGCACCACGAGAAGCCGAAGAGTTTCTTCACGAGGAGAGTTTAAAGTGTTTGAGGAGTTTGTGGCTTTGAGCCACCACGAGTTCTTTTGAGGCTGAAAGGGCCAAAGAAGTGAACGAGTTTGAGAGCGGCCAGTAGGAGTAGCTCTGTTTCACTCGTCTCACACCACGACAAAAAGCGAGTGCACAACGAGTGTTTCAAAAGGAGGAAAGTGCGACTGTTTTGGGTTCGTTGCACCTCTAGGAGAGAAAAGGCAAAAGAGGATGCACGAAGAGGGGGTAACAAACATTTCGCTTAGGAGTGTGTTGCCCTATAATCCTGTAGATGAGCTGTTTGCCACATGATTTTGTATAGTATGGAACAAATGTTCCACTGTGGTGTTTAGGCTCAAGGGACGCACCCAAGTCAGCCGTGCGCCCGAGGAAAAGTGAAGTGCGAATATCTGTGTGAAGTGAAAGGGTCCGGAACGTACCCGTAAAGCGTTTTAGGTGTGCTCCGGAGAATCTGCGACCAGCTTCTTTGAGGGAGTGGCAGAGCCTTTCTACTTCCTCTTCAATCCACGAGACTGCTTCTCGAGTGGGAGGCGCCAGTACCTTTGTTGACCTTACGATCCCCAATCCCGAGATCTCCGCGATACCCAATCCCCCGATGAGTGCCTCACCCTCAGGATCTCCCGAGCTGGCTGTTTTGTCACCAGTTCCTGTGTCTGGCGCGCCCGCAGCTCAGGGAACTGGAGAAGGCGATAATGACATTGCTCAACCCGAGCAAGAGCTTACACCTCAAGTGAGCATTCAGACGGAAGCTCCAGTTTCCCTTGATGCGCCAGAAGTCGAGCGCGACGCCGCCGCTCCTTCTGATCCCGTGCAGCCGACCGTAGAGTATAGTGATCCTGGACAGTTCGATGCGGCAAGCATCCCTGTGCCCGACAGTGAGGAGGGTCTTTACACTGAGACAGCTCTGTTAGCTAGTCACCAGTTGGGTATTCAGGACTCTCAGGGAGAGGAAATCTTGGATTTCACAACGCTCCAGACTAGCGAAGACTTTCATGGCCCCCCGCTTGCCGAAGATAACTTCCCGTATGTCGAAAATCCTTTAGAGTGTGCTGAGCATCAGGCCTTTTGTTTGGAAATTCCCGTAAGACATAAGGACCTAAAGCGTTGGGCATCCGAAGCAGCTCCCGAGCAGCTTGCAACTTTGGCAGCCGTGAGCAAACGTGCTAGGACTGAGGTTAATGTAAAAGACCTGACCCCTCAGGAACTAAAGCTGTTTGAGCAGGCAAAGGCCAAAGAGTTGCAATGCTGGGTACAGACCTCAGCCATCCGTGCAGTGCTTCGCCGACGGCTAAATCCCGAGCAGATCTTAAGGAGTCGATGGATTCTGACTTGGAAAAGTCCCGAGCCCGGTGAATCCCAACCCCGTGCTAAAGCACGGTTAGTGGTTTTAGGTTTCCAGGACCCTAAGTTGGTTGAGGTTATGAGGGATGCCCCCACACTTTCGAAGGAGGGTCGAGCGCTAGTTTTACAGACCATAGCCTCATGTAAGTTTCCATTGGGAACCTTTGACATTAAGACTGCGTTCTTAAGGGACAAAGCCGACGAGAGTAATCCCCTTGCCATGGAACCCCCGAAGGAACTCCGTCAGCTTCTCCAAATGAAAGATGACGAAGTCTGCCAGTTGCTGGGGAATGCATACGGGAGAGTTGATGCTCCTTTGCTGTTTTACAAAGAACTATCTAAGCAGCTTGAAGCCCTCGGGTTCGTTAGGCATCCTCTTGAGCCGTGTGTTTTCCTTCTGTACACCCAAGGGAAGCTAAATGGCATTTTGGGGATTCATGTTGATGACGGGGTTTGCGGACGGGATGCCGTCTTCCTAGATAAAACTCAGACTTTGCAGAAAACCTTGCCCTTCGGTAGCCGAAAGTTTCGAGATTTCGTGTTCACCGGTATTCGACTTGAGCAAATGCCTGGTTTCACGATCCGTGCCTCTCAGGGCGAGTACATCCGCCAAGTGTTGCCCATTGATGTAGGCCGTAATCGTAGGCAAAACCCAGAATCCCCGGCCACCGAAGAGGAGCGCTCCAAGTTGCGTGGTTTGGTTGGAAGCGTTCAATACGCTGTCACCCATACGAGGCCAGACATAGCCGCTAAGCTAGGGGAAATCCAAAGCCAGATCACAACAGCAACTGTGCAGACGCTGCTGACTGCAAACCGCGTTTTACGGGAGGCCCAAGAGTTCGATCAGGTCTGCGTACACTACCTTTCGATCCCGGCAGATCAGTTAACATTCGTCTCTTTTGGAGACGCGTCCTTCGCCTCATCGAAGAACCTTAATTCCCACCAGGGTGTTCTTGTATGCGCCACTAATGGTCAACTCAGTAAAAACCTAGAAGCCCCAGTATCCCCTCTTGCCTGGGTTTCTAAGAAAATACCCCGAGTTGTTCGATCAACCCTGTCAGCCGAAGCCTACGCGATGTCAAAGGCCGTTGATCTTTTGGGATGGCTCCGTGCATTGTGGGGGGTAGTCCACGTACCTCATTTCGATTGGCGCCAGCCTGAAAAGAGCTATAAGCTGCTGAATACTGCCCTCGTAGTGACGGACTGCAAATCCCTCTTTGATCTCGTGACCAGATTGGCCATGCCAACATGTGAGGAACACCGGACAACGTTGGAAGTGCTTTTGATCAAGCAGCGTTGCGCAGAGAACGCTCAGTTCCGGTGGATTCCCACCACGTTGCAGGTAGCTGATAGCTTGACTAAGAATATGGATCCATCCCTGCTTCGGACGGTTCTTGCGCAAGGTCGTTTTCGCTTGTTCGATACCTCAGAATCCCTAGCAAGAGACGCACAACGCCGGAAAGCCATCGAGTGGCTCCAACAGCCTTCAGCCGCTTCCTCATAACCCTACGTCTAAAAGCCTCTACCCTAAGACTCCCCTAAAGTATCGCGCATGGGATGATGAAGGATCGAGTCCACTTTCGAGACTCCTCTCAGCTGAACATCTTTGGGCGCAGTACCGAGTCGCTTACCGTCAGATGGACGAACTTGGCCAATAAAACAGGGTTAGTGTGAAAATCTTGAGCTGCGACAGGAGCGAGTGGCCATGTTCGTGCACCGCCTATCCTTTCAGGCCCAAGGGTCGAAGGTGGGCGGGTAGGGTTCAGCACTGGGTGCTGCATGGACCTTTGAAGCCTGAGCCGGACAGCTGGAGAAAACAGCGTGGGACGCTGGGGAACATTTAGCTGCAGGGCAGCCTCTTTCTTCTTTTGATCTTGGATTCGCGGTTGAGGAACCTTTCATTCTTCAGATCTTTGATCATTGGTGACAGGGTCACAAGCTACCAGGTGAACTCAAGGGAGTTCACAAGGGTTTAGGGTTCCTTTAAGGGTACCCTTTGGGTTTCTGCTTGGAGTTTGGTTTTGTTTTTAAACCCGTAGCGTGAAACCTCCGATCTGTCACTAGAACCAAACCCACAACCCTAGATCCGAGACCGGGTAGTACTGCTTCCTTGAAACTGTCACCCTACAGTGTAAAGGCTTCAAGCCACAGGCCCTAAATCGTAAAACGCTTCTAGAAACAACTCCGACAAACTCCACAGCAACAGCACTTAACACAAAAAATCCAAAAGATGTAGGACCTTTCTATTACAAAAGGTTTCCTAAACCCCAAACCCATCGTTTTCAACAGATGTAGAAGCAAGAAGATTAAGCTTTCATAAACCCCAAAATCATCGTCTTCAACACAGGTAGAAGCAAGAAGATTGCAAAGATTGTGCCTGAGGGTTGCTTACGTACCTCTACACCCTGAACCCTAAACCCCAAAGCCCTGTTGTGATCATTAAGGACCCTACAGCAACTTTGGAAACACTATCTGGGAGTTTCCAAAAATAGGGGACTCTCGTATAGCACTCTAAATATTAGGATCCTTACTATAAGGAACCTTATTTAGGGGATTCTAGTATAGTAACCTAGATACTAGGATCCTTACTATAAGGACCTCAAAGTACGGTACCCCTACTTTTCGGAAACTCCCACCCCGAAACCTAAACCCTGAACCTGGAACTCTTAACCCTCAACCCTACTGCTGATGGACAAAATCCTGCATGACCCACTGTAAGGAATATAGCACAGTTCCCATAGTTTAGAGTCCTTAGGGTCATGCAGGATTTTGTCCATCAACCGTATATAACCCCTAAACGAGCCGTAAACCCCAAGCCCTGACCTCCAAACCCTGACCCAAAACCCCTCAAATTCAGGCTCCTAGGTCAGACCTCAGGGCTTGCGGGTTCCAAACTTACGGCTGAATGATTCAAGGCTCTCCGGCGAATGATAGAAATCCTGCATTACCCATCATAAGGAATATACCATAATTCCCATAGTTGAGGGTCATCAAGGTAATGCAGGATTTTTATCAGCAACCGTAGAACCCTGAACCCTGAACTCTGGAACTGAAACCCTCGGTTTAGGGCTTCGGGCTTACGACTAGAGCTTGGAGACAAAGAAGACCTCAAACCCTGCTTAAAGGATCATGGGACTTAGTAACTAGGGTTATAATTAGTGTAACTGCACTTATAACTGCTTACAACCCCAATTAAGGTACTTATTACCTTACTTACTAAGTCCCACGCTCCTCCAAGTAAACCCTACACCACAAACCCATAGATCCCTTTAAGGAACCCAACAGATCCCTTTAAGGATCCTTTTAAGGAACCCCTAAACCGACGGTACCTGTCTTGCCAGCTCCCCGGGATTCAGGACCATAAGCTCGTGGGGAACGGCCTGGGGGAGAGTTTAGGGCTTACGTGGAGGATCGCGGGTCTAGGGTTTAAGGTTTTAGGGGTTAAGGGTTTAGGGTTTAAGGGTTCCTTTGAAAGGATTAATAAGGGCTCCATAAGGGAGCCATACCCTTTAGGGTTGGGGTTTAGGGCTTCAGGGGTTTAGGGGTCTGTGGTTTAGTGAAGAGTTTTGGGGGTTGCTTTGAAGGGTTCTGTAAGGGATCCATAAAGGTTTAGAGGATCATGGGACCTAGTAAGTCTAGTAAGTCAGGTATGAGCCCCTTAAGTGGGGGTAGTGATAGTAAATTCCCCTACCTTCTTGGCAAGCCCTTGCTGCTAAGTCCAACGATCCTTTAAGTAGGGATCTGTACGGGGTTAAGGATCTACAAGGGTCCGTTATACTATAGCTATAATCAGGAACCACCAAAATGGTAAAGGTAAGTACTAAGGCCCCTGTATCAGTTTTTGGTGCTTAGGGTTGGCAGGTTCGGGTGTAGGACCTTATCTAGGGCTCTGGGGGGCTTAACGGTTTCAAGGGCTTCAGGCTTCAAGGGTAGATGGCAAAATAGGATGCCCAGTAACATAGGAGTAAAAAGGGCTCCCTTTTTGGTATTGGCTAACTCTATAAGGAACCTAGGACGACAAAAAGGGAATAAGGGTACTACTGGGCATCGTAGTTTAAGGGTTTGGGGATTTGATGGTTCTAGCTTTGGGCATGAGCAACTGGCGGGCTTAGGGTATCGAAGTTTGTTGGGCTTTAGAGCTTGCGGGTTTAAGGGATTAAGGCTTTCAGGGTTCGAGGGCTTGAGAAAGTTAGAAGTTTGAGGGGTGAAGTCGTAAAGGCCGTTGAGGGCTTCAGGGTTTGAAGGACTCTCGACTCTGAGACGATCTCATCTTAGCCCGAGGTTTTCAGGTCAGGGTCCACAGCTCAAGGTCTGGGGTCTTCGGGTTTGGGATTTAGGGCTGATATAAACATCATCCACAGAACATGAGACCCCCTACTGGAAGAATTCACCCAGGGCTTAGGACATTAGGTTAGGAATAAAAGGGTGCCCTTTTTTTTAAAGGGGCTTATAAGGGAACCTGAACCCTAAAAAAGGGAATAAGGGCCTACTCTGGGTCCTAGATATAGATTTATACAAAGGCTGTCGCACTGAAGGAAGCCCACCTTAGCTTCCTGGGGGTCCGGATCTCTGAAAGCTCTTTTATCATCACGTCCTCGGTTCGGTGCTCCTTTTTGTTCCCACCTCTGCTTTCTTCGAGGCCTCCAACTCCTTCTTGAGAGTGGCCTGCGGTGATTCACCGTGTCCGAAGTTGGAGCTTTCGGATTGGATTGGGAAGGCAACGTCTACAACTGCCAGGCCTCGCGCTGATTAGAATCCTGAAGATCTCCATGTCGCTCACGAGCTTCTTGTGGCGGACATTATCAGAAAGCGACTCCTGTACGTGACACGAGAAGTATTTCGGCGCACAATCAATGAATCACGAGCTGTCTTCTCCGAGGAGAGGCGAAGAAGCTGCTGGCTCGAGAGGACTTCTTGTTTCGACGCGCTCTGCAGCTCCTTGTCCTTCTGCGACAACAGTTTTCGCAGCTCCCGACGAGGGCTTACCTGAAACCCAACTGCAGGGTGCAGGCATGTGTTGAAGTTCATGGTTAGCTGCAAGCTTTGATACAAGCACCTTTGTTAAGCGTTGCAAACAGGGCCTACGACCCTAGTGTCCCGAATTGCACCCTCGTGGCTTGTAGCTACTGTACCTAACCCACTGTTATTGCAAGCATTTGTGCTGTTCCAGTATCCTACGGGAACAAAAAGGAAACCTCCGGGATTCATAGAGATTACCCATACATCCCATAGCAGTTCCTTTTTAGGATTGCGGTATAGGATTCTAAATATGAACCCCCGAAAAGGAACTACTATGGGGCCTCTGGCTACAGTACCCCCACAAGTTGAAGGTTTCCAACCCGGCCCTACCCTAAGGTTGCAAGTCAAAAAGTAGGGTTTTAGGCCTCCAAAATTCTACTCTGAATGGTCCTGGTGCTTGGCACCCACAACTAATAGAGTGCCTAGACCCGCTCAATACTACTATACATGATTGACCTTGAAACTTAAAAACACTCTCGGAGTGCCCAGAAACTCCCCACGCCTTGATTAAGGAATATACCTTAAACTATAATCGGGACCCTAAACCCTAAACCCTAAACCCTAAACCCTTAAACCCTAAACCCTAAACCCTTAAACCCTAAACCCTAAAAGGTATATTCCTTGAATTAGGGGGGCTTTGGAGTCTCGGGGTGCCCAAAGCCCGAAACCTCTAAGCTCCCCCAACCCGCTAAACCCCTAAACCCCTACTCTAGGCATCTAAGGACTCACATATTAAGGCTTTTGGGCCCAAAGACCATACTATATAAGGCTTTGGGGCTATTTTGATGCTCAGGGCTATACCCTAAGATTGACCTTGAAGCTTGAAAAAACCCTCGGGGTGCCTTGTCCATTGCACTTTGCTCCAGCTCAAGGTGGTCCAGGGACACTTGGCGCTTGTGGGGGCGCGCCTCCGACATCGGGAAATTTAGGGGCCTTAATAATTCAGAAAGGGACGCTGTGGGGTCCCCTCCAGAAAAGGAATAGAATAGTGTTCCTTTAAAGGCATCCTTAATGGGATACAACAAGGGTACTATAATACAGGGGCCTTAATAATTAGAATAGGGTTCCTTTACAGGGATCCTTTATGGGATACTATAAGGGGTACTATAAGGGTACTACAATATAGGGGCCCTTAACAATTCCTTTAAAGGGACCCTCAATGGGATACTATAAGGGATACGATAAGGGTACTATAGTATAGGGGCCTTCATAATTAGAATAAGGTTTTGGGGCCCATTATACTATACTGCAACGTCTTGGAAAGAAAGGGTTCTACAGGGCTCGATAAGGTGCTTTACTCGCCGCCGGGTGTATAAGAAATGGTAAAAAAGGGCTTCATACAGATTCTTGAACAAACTAATTTGTCGAACTTTATGGACTTTGTGGGTGTGTTTGCGATTGAAGGATTCTTTAAACGAGACTTCTAAGAGTTTTACATGGGGCTCTTGTACGGGGATTAGGGTTCAGGATTTAAGTTGCTTCAGATACACTATACACTTAGGCATGTTCCTTAATTACCGGGTTTTTGCAGTCTCGGGGAACTGCCATACCCACAATCCTGCATAGAACCCCCAGGATACCCTCGCTAAGCCCTAACCCCTACTAAAGCCTGAACCTGTGTAATACTCTTTCTAGATCAACCCGCGAAGACCTGTGTGAAACACAACCCTGAACCCCGAAAAGACTCTAATTCGTTATTAACTAAACCCTCAAACCTGAACCCGTATAAGAATCTCCTGA